TAATATGTCTTTAGTAAACAAATAGAAAGGCACTGCTGCTGATCCACACGGGGGAATAGTTTACCAGCTCTTCCTTTTTTTCTTCTCATAGTGCATGCTATACCTGATCATTTTCCTGACGTTTACTTGTTGTTCTAAAATTGCAGAACTTCTCTAACTAAATTGCAAGGGGCATTCGATAGTTCAGATGTTGTGTCAACTCTACCACACCAAGATTCTCAGTGCTTTGGCAATTAAGACCTGGTCATGCCCATGACGATACCTCCTTGAGGGTGTGGCCTGCTTCCAATATAAGTAGACCCTGTGGACAGGCTTGTTTGCTGTTTGCTGGGTCTGGAACCTGCCCCTGACCTTTTTTTCATGTTCTTTGGACTTGAGAGCCATCAACTCCTGCTCTTTGCCATCCTCACAATTGCTATGTTTGAGTCCATTATTGCAGCCACTGTGTTCCTATAGCTGATTCAGGTTCTTTTTCTTTTTCTTCTGCTCTGTACCAAGCATGATATCCCTTTTCAGGGAAAGATCCCTCCTGAGGGTGTGTCCAAATTACTTGAGACTAATCCTGGTCATACTCACTTCAAAGGAGTATTCTGAAATTCTATGCTATTTCCAAGACACATTTATCCATTCTTAGACAGTCCATGATATTTTCAACATTTTTTGCAACATCATAATCCAACATCGTGATATTCTTATGTCTCTCTTATTCACTGTCCAGCTTTCACTGTAAATAACGTGATTAAAAATAATTACTTGGGTCAAGCACACTTTAGCCCTCAAAGTGACATATTTGTTTTTGAGCGCTTTGAAGTGGTCTTTGGCAGTCAATTTGCCCAAGGCAATAGTTTTGTTTGATTTCTTGACTGCTGAGTCCATGTATGTTGATTGTGGATCCAAGCAAAATAAAACCATTGGCAATGCCTCTCTTTTCTCCCTTTATGATGCTGCTGCTTATTGGTTCAGTTGAGAAGGTTTTTGTTTTCTCTTTATTGAGGTACAAGCCACAATGCAGGATACAATCTCTGTTATTATGTGACTAAGTATATATTAACCCATCAACCCACCAAAGAGTGGCTGTCAAGTTGACACCAGCTGATGATGACCTCATGTCTATCAGAACAGAACTGTGGTACCCTGGGTGTTTACACACACACACACACACACACACACACACACACACACCCCTTTTCTGCAGTAGATGGTCCGGCCTTTCTTTTCAAGCCACTGCTGGTTGTTCTCTAAATGACAACCTTTTGGTTTGTTGAAACCGTTAACCATTTTCCCACCAAGGGATTAAACATTGTCTTATTATAAAGCCTATTTATATATTTTCTTACAATTTTAAAATGTGCTTATATACTTACATGCAAATACTATACTTGTATTTATATATAAAATTTATATGTTAAAAATCCACCAATTGCCTTTGAGCCCATTTGAATACATGGTAACACCATGTTGCCCAACTTTTCAGTGACTATAGTCTTCAAAAGTTGATCACCAGGCCTTTCTTTTTTTTTTTTAAGGAAAAGGGAAGACATTTATTTGCACCCATACAGGAAACCCTAGAGGGGCTCAGCATACCCTACTGTGTAGGCATGCCCAGCAAAGGGTCACACCATTCACTGTAGCCCCATGTCCCAGAGGGACTCCCCTTGAGCCGAGCCCCAAAGCCCCAGGACTGGCTGGGGGTAAGGACTCACCAGGCCTTTCTTCCACATTGCCTCTGGGTGGATTTGAGCTGCCCACCTTTCAGTTAGCAGCGAGTCCTTAACTGCTTTCACCACCAGGGATTCCTAACAACTAGTGTATCTAGTCTGAGCATGGACATGTACTCAATGGATTATCACAAATAGTCCTTGGCAACAATCTAATGGACTAATTATTAGCATCATCCCCATTTTATAGAAGAGACCACTGAAGTATAGAGATTGAGTTCAGACTGTGGGTGAGAGAGATCCCAGTTGAAATCTAGTCTGTAGGAGCAATAGCCTGTGCTTCGTCCTGATGGGAATACATGCTGAGTAAATGGATTAGTAAGTAATAGGAGGACCGAAGAGAGGAGGCGGGGGTCTGGAGATGCAGAGAGGAAGCTAGTGTTGAGGAGTTGAGCCTCTAGCTGGAATAAGGAACTTGGACAGTTTCCTACTGGCCACCGGAAACAGCAAGGAAATGACCAGTTTCACTTTTCTGCAATCAACATTCTGGGCACATAGAAGGAGAATTGTGGGTTTGAGTTTAGGGGGACCAATTTGAAGACTTTTTTTTGGAGGGAGGGACAGTTCAGTGTGCTTGGGGTAGTCTGGAGAGTCTTGAAATTACGGGGATGACACACGATGTGGACCAAGTTCCAAGTACATCTGAATTTGGAGTCCATCACTAGGACCAGTAGAGGGGGCTGTGAAAAAGAAGAAGACCCTCAACAAGACGGATTGACACTGTGGCTACAATAAGGGGCTCAGGTATAGGGACAATTGTGAGGATGGCACAGGACCGGGAAATGGGTCTTTCTGGTGGGCACAGGGTCTCTGTGGGTCAGAACCCATTGCCTGGCAAGAGACGACAGCAAAGCGGGACCAGAAGAAGCCCAGGTGGTGCAGTGCATTAAGCACAGGTGGGTCTGCTAACTAAAAGTTCTCTGGTTTGAGCCCACCTCCTGCTTACTGGGACCTCTGAGAAAGCCCTGTCAGTCTGCTTCCACTTGGGGTCTGTTTTACTTTGTCCTCTGATGAGCCAGACTTGCCTGGAGTGGTGGGAAGTAGTGTCAGGAAGAAGTGTGTCTGATGTTAACTAGGAGCAGCTTACAAGCAATAATGAACGCAAACCTTTCTGTAACTCCCAAAGTGATGACCTGCAGGGGATTCGGGGGCTTTTCCATTTTGTGATCGATATCGGGCCGCTCATACCTGCTTGTGTTACTTTGATTCTTGTGCCGCAGCACCCATATTCCTCAGCATTGGCGGTTGAACTGCCTGTCCTTTGGGGATTTAATCACAGTGGCTGCCCTGGCCAAACAGAAAGTCGGCCAAATGTGTTTGAAATCCTGCCTTTAGAAGGTCGTATGTTTTGACAAATCTTGGAGCAAATTTGGTTCAGCATTTGGAATTTTGAGTGAAACCCGAAACCAAGCGTGCTGGCTCTGCCTTGGGGGGTCTCCTTATGAAAGTTCCCAGCAGCCTTAGCCTAAATCGCCTCTAATCTCCTTTTGGCAAGGGTCGTGACTGTCTTGGGCTGCATTCGAAGTTCAGGGTGGGCCCTGGAAGCTTTCCCTGTCCTATGAGAAAGGTAGAGACCAAGCCAGCAATTTGGGGTCATTTCCCACCCTGAGTGTTCTGAAAGAGTGCAAATTGCAGAATTGACAATATTGTATTTCCAGTTGGTGAGTGACTGGGTGATACCCCAAGCCAGGTTTGGGGCAAGAAGTTAATTAATCTGTTTATTAAAAAAAGAAGAAGAAATGTCTCATTTGCATGCATTTGCATTCAGATCTTATACACACCATGCTTGGGGGCGATCTGCGTCCCTTCCTTTGTACTGTACTGTTCCCCTAGTGTACTGTATGGGACATCTTGGTGGGCGGGGTTTGGCCTCAGTGGCCTATGTCAGGTTACCGTTCCATTCTAGCAGAATGTCATTGTCTGTTTGCCAGTACTGGATGCTGTCAGCTGGATTCCGACTTAAGGCCACATGCGAGTTGCGTGCCATGGGGTGGGGGATGTTGATAGCTCTTGTTCTCCAGAAGGGAATGATTAATTCCCAGAGCTGTCTTTGGTGAAGCTGCTGCATGGATTTGAACCGCCAACCTTCCTGTTAGTAGCCAAGCACTTTACCCTTCACTCCACCCAGGTCATCATAGAGATGTGATATTTCTGTAGAAGTGCATTTCCCTTTCATGGGCTGCTTAGGTTCACAATCCAGTTGTCATATACCACCGACAATAGAAAGGTTGATCTATTTTAGCAATGCTAGATAGGCAATTTGGGGATGAGCCCTTCCATTATCTGCGAGTTCCTACTCAACTGAATTTTCCATGGTCACTTTTGTGGGAGTTTTCTCTTTCTCTGTTTCTTAGCTTATTGGGAGGTCTGCTGTGGGAATTTTTTTTCTCATGGAGAGAGAGAGAGAGAGAGAGAGAGAGAGAATGAATTGCTCCTTGGGTTTATAGTGGGCGCTCTACTTTCAAAAACATAGCTCTGGCCTAAAAATGCCCAGCTAACCTGAAGTACCCTTTGGGAATGGGGTGGGGTGGGGGTAGGGGTTGAGGGAAGTCTTGGGAGGAAGGGGGGCAGGGAGCAAGGTGGTGATTCAGGTCCCCTCCAGAGGTGGGTCCAGATGTAAAGGCCAGCTCCTGGAAGTACAAGTGAAGCCACAACTCCATAGGAGAGGGAGGCGTGGTGTGGGATGGAGGGCGATCTCTGCCTGTGAGTGAGTTCTGGGCTTGGTTGTAATCACATTTCTGATACATGACAAGTGGAGGGGCTTTGGGGTGAACGGAGTGGCTAACCACCTCTATGCTAACAAGCTTAGCAATCAGGTTGTGAAGGCTCCTGGCAGGAGGAAGCAAAAGGCAAAAACCCCCAAACAAAAAACGCAACCCAAACCTTAGCCCTCTGTCAGATTGTGAGCAGCATGATATTTGCGAAGGAGTTCCCAGTGTGGACAGGAAATGACCTCTCCACAAACCGCTTCTTTAAAAAACAAGCAGAGATGCCTAAAGCTATCCAGTGTCTCTCTCCCTCCTTCCCTCACTACTCGCCTCCCTCCCTTCCTCCCTCCCTCTCTGGAGCTCCCTCCTCTCGGCCTCCTCGCCCTCCCTCCCGCTCCCTTCTCCCAGCCTCCTCTCCCGCTCTCCCTCTCGGCTCGCGCCGGCGTGGGCCCCCGCAGCAGTTCCCGGCCCGCGCGCTCCGGCTGCCTGCCTGCCTGCCTGCCTGCTCGGGGTGCGCGCGCGCGCGCGTGGATGTGTGTGCGCGCGCGGGGGTGCGTTCGCCTACTTTGAACCGCGAAGAACATAGCCCATGTGCTCTGCATGGACGTTCTTGCTACTCTGTTGAGCTCGATTCTCCACCAGCCGGCAAGATGTCCAGCACCCCCCAGGACCCCTTCTATTCTTCGCCTTTCGGCCCATTTTATAGGCGGCATACCCCGTACATGGTGCAGCCAGAGTACCGAGTCTATGAGATGAACAAGAGACTGCAATCGCGCACAGAGGTAAGTTCTTCAGCCCCTGGGTGTGTGTGTGTGTGTGTTTGCCTTCCAACTGTGCAGCGGGCATCTCCTAGGGTTTCAGGAGGAATTTCATGGGAAGTGTCCCACTAGATACTGCCGTGTCCCTGGGAAAGAGCTCCAGGATCGAGTCACTAGTTGGAACACCCGAGCTTCCAGGGACTGCAACTCTGGGAGGACAGGGGACACTTTCTGCTGGAATCTTGAAACAGACAACCTAGCGCTTGCCTCTCCAGATCCTCTGCTTCCCCCGGGAGTCGGGTTTGCAGGTTCGGAGTCCAGCGGTTCGAGTGTGTGGAGACAGCATTGCTAGAGGGTTCCTGGTCCTTTGCCATCCGGAGAATGATTTTTTAAAAGCCAGTCCCTAAGGAAGTCTGCAGTGACCTGCCTTTGCTTTGCGAAGTTCTGAGAATCCAGGTATAGGGCAAGAAGGTTCAGTCAGTATACTATCAGAACTACCCCTGGAGGGGACGCGTGTTTGTAAATAGCCACGTTACTTAGATTCAGCAATCAGTGGCCCTGTTGGGTGGGTGGGGGTGGGGGAGTCCTGACTTTCCACACTAGTAGGGTGAGTGCCTCCCAGGCAGCCCTATCTTTCCCAGGAGCTGGATCTGCATTTGAGTGAGGTCTAGGTTTTGCATACTTTTGATCTTGGGACCCTGGAGGGATAAGACCCAGCCTCCAAGGGGACCAGACGCCTGGAGCTGAAAGGGAGCCACTTCAGAACTTTCTAAATGCAAAACTCCAGCCTCGCCTCCTGCTATTTAAATATTTAATGCCAGTTGACTTTTCTGCTGAGCTAACTTTGAGGGGCGGGTCTGGCCACTGCTGCGTTTCCAGGTGCCTGCAAGTTGGGTCTTTGTGCAAAGTGTTCTGGAAAGGAGTTTGTAGTGGGGTCCACCCAAGTCACTTGAGGAAGTGGAACTTGCTGGGAATGTACGTTTATTCTGCAGGCTGCAAATGCCCAGAGCATGTACGGCCAAATAGGTTTTTATTCTTAAAGGGAATAGCTGTGGTGGAATTTCAAATTGAGGGTTGTAAGACTCCCAGTTCTGGGGTGGGGGGGGGAGGAAATAAAGGACTCACTTAAGGTTGTGTTATAAAATAAAACACACATGCTGGAATTGTCAACCGAGAGCCATGGAGAATCCATGACGTTTAATGTATTTAATGCAGCTAACAAGATGTGACCTGCTTTCTGATTGGCTAACTCCTGGAGAAGGACTTGATATTCTCTCTCTCTCTCTCTCCCAACTGAGCTGTTTTTTTTTTATCACTGCTATTTTCTTTACATGTTAATCCATCATAGATGTTAACTAAAATTGATACAATTGCTCTCCCGAGAATCTAGCAGCTTCTATGGAAGTGTTAACCCCTGTGTTGCTTAGGGTGGTGAGCTGTTAACAATAAATTGTGTGTGTGTGTGTGTGTGTTTCATTCAGTTCATTGTAGTCATTATATGTTGGAATCTTTAATTTTCTGGGGGTGCAGGACACACTATTGGTTGAAGTAGCTTGCTTTCAGAATTAGGAGGATGGGAAAATGTTTTAGGTAGTTCAGGCACCCATCAATTTTAATACATAATTGTTTCCTTAAATGCTATGTAAAGTATGCTTGGTGTTAAAAAAATAGATTAGAGGCCATTATGAGTCAACTCTTGATCAACAACGGAATTTAAAAACAGCCTGTGTTCACCTGATGTTTTGGAAAGTTTCTGAGGAGTTCTGGAAGAGGCACTCCATCCTCGTGCAGTTAGGAACCCAGGAGGCTGTCTTGAGCCCCCATTTCTCCTGGGGTCCTCACATAGGACTGGGACATTTCTGACCCCGGAGATTCTTTTGAGTGACTTGCTGACCCTGTCACTCATCAACATATGCAGGGCAGAAGAGCAAGGTCCCAATGATTGTTCCCTATTTGAGAAAAGATCTTCGAGAAGCCTCCCATTCACAGTTACGGGTCTGCAGAATGACACATTATCTTTTGTGAGAGCTAAACTTAGAGACTCAACTTTCGGATTATGAAGTATGACTTTGAAAGATTTTGCTCTGTATAGAGAACACCATTTCAGACAGAGCTCAAGAGTGGGGAGAGGACAGCTAGCAATGGCAGTCTCTTATAGTTTTTTTTTTTAAGTCTCTCCGACTGTGACAAGAAGCCACTACCATGAACTGTCTCCTGGCTTTTTCTCCTAACCCTAGCTAGATAGATTTTTGTCATTGTTCCAAGCATGGTCTAGACCCTCTCCCCCAACCCCCTCTTTTTGGCCAAGCAGTACATAAACATACCACCACACATCGGTTTTTATTTCATGAGAAAAGGCAATGAAAGAAATCATTGCTCCTAAGATATTGAATTCTTAACATTAAAGGGTGACTCAGCACCCTATGTCCAATTGGAAAGTACTTAAAAAAAAATCACTTTTCACTGAAAAGTTACACCTTCCAAGCCCCATAGAGGGGTGGGTTGTAAGAAGATAGATCCCAAGGGACTACGGAGGGTTTCTAGTTTGCTTGCACATGGACACGAGCAGGTTGTTGTGCAATCACTTTTTGAATTTAAGCAATGCAGGAAGGAAGACCTCTCTCCCCCTCCTGGGGCCCACTTCCATAATTATTTCTTACAACCTTGTAAGTAACACACACACACACACATATCTATGCAATGTTTTCAACTCTCCATGCCTTTTTGAATCTGGGAACATAGACTTGGCTTAAAAAAGAATGCCAGCGAGTCAGTGAGTGGAAATGCCCAGTGGACCAAGTTTTGCGACATGTTCTAGAAAACTCCTTTTTTCAGAAGGAAATTCCCAAAGAACCACAATGTGTACCTGCATACCCTTCCATTCCTGTGCCTAACATCCGGGTGTTCTCTCTGGGGACTTAGGCATTTCTACCCATCCGATCGCATCAAATCCAATTTGCTTCCTTGGAAGGGCATTGGATGGAACGTTCCTCTGGTTTCCAACTTCTCTCTGCTGTTCCCTAACTAGTTGGGCCTGGACCTTGGCTCCTCACCTGCAAATTACCTGCATCATCCTTTTCATTCTGAAACTAAAGTTCCCTCTGCAAAAGCTCTGGTTTTCTTTCCTCTGAGAAAAGTATTTTGAATTGAAGAGCACAGATACGATTTCCTTGCTCACCTTCTCAGCTCAAATCCACAAGTGGTACTGAACGAAGCTGGAATAGTGGGGCAAAATGAGGGGCAAAGTGCTGTTGTGGTTAAGTATCCTCCAGTCAGCTCCAACCCACAGGGACCCTACACACCACAGAATTATTCACACAGTTTTCGGCTGCTCCTTTCTTCCAAGGGGGAAGCCGTGTCCTTCTACATGGTCTGGAAGCTCTGCTGAAACGTGTCCAGTTTGAGTGACCCTCCTGGTATTTGAAATACCAGTGACATAGCTTCCAGCATCGCAGCAGCCCACAAGCCCCGACAGTCGGATAAATGTACTGACAAATGGTGGTGGTGGTAGGTGGGGTGGGGCGGGGGCAAAGTAGGTGCTCAATGAACAGATGTCGACTAGGCAACAAACACAGTCGATAGAAGGGGTAGGGAAGACAGGACCCTGTAATTTCCTTCGGCACTTTCCCTGGACAAAGGGCCATTATGAGTCAGAATTGACTGGGTGGCTGTTGGCGTGGTTTATGCGTGCGTGCATGCTTGTGTGTGTGTGTGTGTGTGTGTAAGACATCTTCCTCCTGGTGCTTTCTTGGAGTGTTGGCCATTCTTGTTGAGCTGAAGCTGTTTCTGGCATCTGCGTCACACTCACCTTAAAGTGCTCATCCTCACCTGTGGTCTATCACCTCCTGCCTCATCTTCATGGCAGCTGAAAGAAATCCAGTGCCCGAGAGCATGTAGGACCTGACCTTCTTTTGTATCATGTGAATGCCTTAGAAAGCCGACCACAACACACAGTATGGATGATGCTCTGTGTGAGTTGTTCTGGAAAATGCAGACGCTCCTACACCGAATCTCAGTGGAAGTTCGTCAAGAAGCCCATGGAATGAAGAGGAAGTCTTCGTTGTGCCCTTGTTGGTGGTTGCTGTATTTCTCAGTCTGCTGAAGGGGACTTCCGTTTTCCAAAGGGCCAACCCTGTCTTTTCCTCAGATTCCCAGACCTGAAGGGTCTCGGGGTCTCATGTATTTTGGCAGAACACAACTGGCTGGTCACATAGATCAATACTGCTCAGAAGAGTACAGATAGGATGTGGAAATACTGGCTAAGGACAACAGCAATACTCATAATCAACGCAGTACTTGTTCCTTCATTTCCTGAGGCTTTAGCTGCAAGATTTTATATATATATATATATAAAATCAGTTATATAGATAGATAGATAGATATATCTCACTGAAAGTATATGACCATTCCCTTACCGTTATTTTAAGGGGTAGGCTTTCAACTCTTTATGATCGGATTTAAGAAAGTTTATTAGGCCAGGCTGTATGCATCTCGGTGATGGTAGTGAACTTTCTGCCCCTTACTCCTTCATTCAGGTGACCAGAAATGCCACCATACAAGTGAAAATGTTTAAGCTTCCCCGACGCCCCCTTGGCAGTAAGCTAATTTAAATAAATGACCATCGCCGGTTCCCTTCTGTGTGTTCCTTGTGTGTGATTTCTTTTTCTTTTTCTCAACACCCCACTCCAAATGTGAAAACTGTGATTACAATTGGAAGTCACACACACACAAGGAATGTATTAGCACTGATATCGGTTGTGTTCCCCGCCCCCGCGCCTTTGGCTTGATAGGATTGAGCATGAATATTAAAAATGTTTGAAGACCTTGAAATTTAAATCCCAAGACTTTTCACCCCTCCTCTGCTCCACGCGCCAACCCCCTGGGGGGGCTCTGGGAGCGGGGCAGGGGCTGAGTCTTCTTTTCTTCTGGCGACACCACGCTGTACTTCAGTCAC